ACGAGGACAGACGATAGGACGAGGAAGAAGAAGGGAAGAAGGAGTGCAGTTCAAGGCCGGTTTGCGAGGGTGCTGCTCTCGCATTCGCCTCGCAGTGCTCGGAGTAGCCACGGAAAACATCACATTAGAATAAAGACCAGTTATCGCAGGGATATTATGAAAAAATTAAGATTTCAAAATTTAATAAATTGTATAAAATTATTTAGATAGATGATATTCCCAGCTATTTTAAAAGTAAATGTAAGGAAAATTACAGACGTAGGATTGCAAAATTACAGACGTAGGATTGTAGATTAAGTAATGAATCGAGAGCGAGTAAATATTGGCTCAATAGTGAGGTGGGAGGGAAGTACTATATCTGAAATGGAAGGAAATTGGGAAGATTGTGGACAAGGTGGAATATTCAGGATAAGGTGAGGAGGTTATTAGAGGACATTGGTGAAAGGATCAGTGTGATAGATAATTACAGGAAAAGGCTTAGTATATAGCATATATTATATTCTTGTATGTATATATTGTGTATCTTGTATGTATTGTGTATATTATGTATTTGTCTTCTTCAACTATTGTATTTTTACAAAGTTGTAAACTCTCCTTAGAGAAGCCGACCGCTAGGATTCGCTGGCCCTAGTAATGTAGGTAGTATTGAAAATCCGCCTCCGTCGGAATTCGAACCCTTGGACCGCCCGGTGAGAGGCACTGGAGAGAGAGAGAGAGAGAGAGAGAGAGAGAGAGAGAGAGAGAGAGAGAGAGGTAATGCTAGCTCTGAACCAATCGCAGCAAGTCCTTTACTGATTGATCGATAGATTGAGTCACTCCGGGTGCGTTAGATCATCAGTCCCGTAAGTATAATGCTTTTTTTATCGCTGCAGGTGGCGGTTCCTGCTGGATATTCAGATTCGGCGCCAACCTACCGTCGGTTAGCAGGGTTTTCCCCAACCAGGTGTCTCCCATCAGCAGGGCTCCGCCCCAGACAGGACAAGCACTAAGTTCCCGACCGGTCTCCCGGCAGTGTACTGTAGTGCGTGTATGAGTGGCGTCATAAGAGATGAGGATAGGGCAAGGAAGAAGAAGAATATATCGCGCGCGGTCCGTGGCCCGTTTGTTGAGGTACTGCTCCGACATTTGCCTGGTATTGATCGGAGAAACCACGGCAAAATTACCGATCAGAACAGGCTGCCTCTAGTATTCTCCTCTAGATAGCTGCTGAACCCGACGTAGCAGACAAGCTAGTGACTAAAATCCTGCCAGCGCCGGAAATGGAACTCTAGAACCCAGTGACCCACGATTCCCGAAGGCCCTTCGCTGTCTGCCTGTTCAGCCGGGGCAGCTGAGGCTGGCGAAGGCCCAGCAGGACGTGCGGGCAATCGAATGAAGCGTCCACCGGCGAAGGCGAGGCATCAAATTCCTCAAAAATTAAAAACATTTCCCGTTAAATTATATTTTAGTAGTCTTCACGTAAAGGGTGCTTTTTCAAAAAAAAATCCTTTTATTAATATTTGTACGTACTCTGTGAGTTTATTCAAAAACATTTCAAGGGTACATGACTTCATTTTTCAGTTTTCAAAAGCCGACCGCCCTTCAAAATAGAGCAGCGCGGTAAGCATTAAACATCTGACGGCGGAGTGTGCCCGCTTGACTGCCACGTTGGTGGAACAAAGGCCGTGTGTGGTGCGTGCATGCGAGTGCGGCGGCGGGGGGTTCGAGTAATCGACCCCAGCGCATCGCTGGGCGTATCGCGCGCAGGGTCGATAGTGAATCGGACAAACACGAGGGCCCGCGCACAGATCATGCGGCGAAACAGACGACTTCCCTCACGCCTGGGGTAATTTTTCGGTGCGACGTGCGCGCAGGTCGATGGCATATTTCAGACGCAAAAAATCGTTCAAGCCGACTTAAATATTGCTGAGTATGAAGATTCAAGACATATTAACACAATTGATTCTCTTCATGCGGTACATTACTTTCGTATTAGTAAAATAATATATTTTATTTTATCTTTCTGACTCAAAGATTTCACTCTCTTGTCCGACTTCTCCCTGCAGCCGATAATCAAGATTAGTGACTATGAGTTCCTTTACCTTTGGATCATGCGTGTTACGAACTCATTCATTCAGACTTCCGTCGTATAGGACCGGGCGTAATCACCTAAAAACTGGTTTATGACAAAACGACTTTCGGTCTGGGCGTCCGTCTGTCGCTCCTACTACAGATTAAGCTCGCGCCTAAACCTTTCGAAGGATTTTCTGTCAAATTGACTTTCCCCTATCGATCTGGACAAAATGGGCAAAATGTTACAAAACTTCTGCTGGTTTAATTAATATTAAGCACGGATGATTCTTACTATCATAAATAGAATGCAGACTGGTTCATGGAGCTTGCTCAAAGAAAGAAATAGAATTATTGAGTGGTTTCCCAAAGTTTCGGAAAATGTGTTTCCATCATCAGGGCTGAAATCACTAGGCTCAAAAATAGTAACGACCTTTTTATTAAATACTCAGGAAATAATAAAATATAATTATAATTTCTTGCAACTACCACAAAAGAAACATCTGAAGGTAAATAATGTTCTAGGTAGCAAACCATATGTGATGTGCGGCACATTTGCAAGGGAGCACCACACTACCACACAATATATGTGCCATTGATGCAATGTTACGAGGAGAAAAAATCGCCTACTATTCACTATTAGAGGCAAAACAATATACTTCCGGCAATAAACAGTCTTTTGATCAAGTGAAAAACAATATTTTACAAATATCTCAGTTCAGGAAAAATATAAACTAATAATATGATATAATTATGGAATTTTAGGTTGTTACTCTACGTTAAACAGAATTATAACAAATCATGTTCTTTGTGAACTACCATATGTTATGATCGCATGCGGCAAAATATGACCGAATGTGAAATCATTGAATAGAACAAAAAAGGGATAGAAGATTGCGTACGTATTTTTAAATTACGAGTCAAGAGTTCAAGCCTTGAGAGAAATGAAAAATATTGGAAGGTAATGTATTTAGAAATGATACTTGTATTTCATAATAATAATAACAACAATATTAATAATACGAGAATGTATTATCAAACTATACGGTTAATAAATTAAATATAAAAAGGAATTGAAAACATAGATATGATAAATTCAATTTTAGGAAAGATTTTCAATTTAAACCCCGTCTAATAACCTTTAGACACACATATTGGATTTAAAGAATTTGATACTATCTCTATGGTTGGAGGCTGAACAGTGGAAGGAATTAAACAGTTTTTTTGCATTAACTTAGGGGGATAAAATTATTGGCTAGAAGAATTGGTTAAACTTTGTTTAGATTGAACTTCTGAGAACACTCGGCCAAGGGAAGCTTGATTTTGGAATATATTTCGTGATAGGAATTCAAATTTAGGAAACTGACAGTTTTATGAAGTTTTCTGTGCCAATCCATTCATTCATCCCGATTCCTGAAAACCATACCTAAAAACAAATTCAGTTATTATTTTCAGATTTCATGGTAATAATGTATGAAAACTTAACGAATCGGTTCCTCTGCCTTACATAATGTTATGTAAGCCTTACAAATAATGAGAGAAAGTACGTGATGTTGTAGCACCACTGCTTTCAGATAGTAGTAAATGTAGATTGCATTAAATCAAGTTGCCCAAATCTGAGTGATAGAATTTCATTTTAAAATGAACTCTCAATGTGATGAGAACACAATCGAGTTCTCCTGGTGAGAGGAGCAACTTATACCCAATGTTTGGAGAGAGGAAGAAAAAATGAAGTAGTAATTTTGATAAGTGTGACACGAATAGAAAAAATAATAATAATGCAATAATAATAATAATAATAATAATAATAATAATAATAATAATAATAATAATAATAATAATATGAGAGTTACGAATTCTCCATGAATGTATACGCCTGCCCGGCAGAAAGTTGGGACGTGCAGTCATTTCCGCCTTTCGATAGGAGAAGCCTGACAACAATATACACAATACATCACTGAGGTGCATCTTTCGCTTGCAAGGCCTATCCTCTTGTAAATGCTTCAAAGTCGTTTCACAGAATTTAACACAGGCCTATTTCATACAAATCTTTCGGATATTATTAGGTGGTAATACATTTCATCTTATGTATTATAATTATCAATGGAACAATACAAATGTTTTACAAACCATTTGCATTTTGTATTTCAAAGGAATTACGTAGTTGTGAAAACTTACTCAAGCTCAAAATGGAGTAACCCCCTGCTCCTTTTCGCATCTAGGCTCACGGAGATAATTGCTCCTCTTAAGCACTCAAAGAGACTACTTCGGATGAGTTAAGTTCAAAGCCAGCATTGCTTCGGGCAATGCAGCGACTTTGTCTGAGAGGTTCCAGTTCGAATTCCAACTGTGGCAGGATTTGCGACACTTCTTTGTCAGCTAATTCGAATTCAGCCGCTGTCTGTAAGATAATTCCAACCGCCGGCTGCTCTGATTGGTATTTTTCCGTGTTTTCTCCAATCAATACTAGGTGAATGTCTGAGCAGTACCCACAGCCACACAGCGCGCGACTTTTCCTACCTCTTCCTTGTGGTATCCTCTCCCCTGACACACATTTACATGCACTCTACTACCGCACATGCGAGGTGGGAGCGATCAGGTGGGAGCTTAAGGCTTGTTTCTGTGGCCTGCTGGGGGAGATACGTGATTGGGGGAATAACATCGTTATCCAATGTGTAAATGGGCGCCAGATCTCGCCATCCAGCGAGGGGGAGATGACTAACATCTCCAGCGACAAACGACATGCAATGTACTTACGGTACTAATGACCTTAGCAGTTGGCGCGCCCGGAATCGCGAATCAGCAAAGGACCAGCTGTTTGGCCCTCCACCTCCCGGGACACTCGCTCCCGCACTCGCTGCCTACCGGGAGCAATGCCCATCGCAGCGGACGTGGCCGGCAGCGTCCGTGTGCAGCAAGCGCTGACGCGCGTGGTGTGTTGCGTGTTGCAGCGTGCCGCCCGGCTACGTGTACCCGTCGCCCTACCTGACGGCGGCGCCCGGGAGCATCGTGCCGCTGCCGCCTGCGCCGCTGTCGCACGCAGCGTCCGTGGCGGCGGCCGCGCAGTTCTACGAGTACCAGAACGCGGCGGCGGCGGCGGCCGTCTCCTACCCGGGCCAGTACCCCAACGGCTTCGACGCCTACCCCTACACCAGCGCCGCAGGTCAGTTCACAAACCCTGTGGAGGGACAGGTACAAATATGGAATACCGTTTTGATGTTTTGGTGCTTGCAACTTCCTAATGAAAGAACGGACTGTGAAATGTTGCAGAACGAGCAGGTATACTGATATTGATGAAATGGTATCTGAATAGTACAACTGCTTGCAGTGCTTAAAAACCAGAACAGTTCAAAAGCAGTGCTTAAAAACCGGTATTTCTGACGAACGTGCATTATTGTTTGTTTAGAAAATGGGGTGCAAATATGGAATACCATCGACAATATGCAATAAATTCTAAAAAGAATTATTCTAAATTATAAACTGACAAGTTCTATTTGCCTGAAATATAAGAACAATGGGACAAATGACATAATACAGCAGTTCTACAGAGATTTTCATTTGCAATAATCATAAAGGTAACGCCCCTTTGCCATAACCGGCGCAATATGCATGTGACCACATTTCATACATAATCCATTGTTCCCTCTAGTAGCGTTTGCTGAAAACTTTCTAGAGCAGAATAGCTCTGCATCGCGATTGCACCGACCAGCCTTTTCAGGAATGCTGGAATCTGTCGTGTACGAACGTATTCCGTATTTGTGACACCTTCATCTTGGCACTCGGAACATCAAAACGGCAAGAACGTGTGTGAAACCAGACAATAAATACATGGTTGTTAACCTCTATGACTAAGCTCCAAACTAAAATACTTCCCACATTCATAAAGATAGTAATTTGTATGTTTCACAATAGTTTATACTTATCAACAAAAGGTTTATACACTTTCCAGAACGTAAAATGGGTACCGCTTGTAAATCACGGACTTCTGCAACAACAGACAAAGCTGGTTTGATGAAATGCAAGACGGTGCATCGTTTCGAGTGCTTTCCGCCCCAGAACAACACATGCGAAGCGAAGATCATGCGGTATTCCATATTGGTGCCCCTATTACACGTTTATTCTCTTCCTCTACCTAGTTTCTCCTTTCTTACTCGTAAACCACTACTCAGGAAGAGGACGTTCTGTAACGCTGCACGGAAAAGTGTCGATTTTTTTGACAGAGAAGCACAACACACTGTGTCTGATACCAAAAAAAGGATATCGTTTATTGGTAAAACTTTCTCTTCACTGTAACTTTTTTTCTCGAAAAAGTACAGCTTTTCATTATCCCTGAAATAAATGAAGGGTCCGTGTGTAAAACAAGATAAACCAGGGCGAAATATTTGTGAGATTTAAGCAAGAGAACAGTTTTTCTGAAAGGGTTTAAATTGGGTACAGAAAGATGGAGAAAGTCTCGGAACAATTAAGCGTCATGATTTAGACTATTTGGGAATCACAGCGCAAATGGAAGCCTTCGAAAATGTTAATATATCCAAAACTATAACTTCGAGTCATCATCTTTTACTCCCCAGCTTTTCAAATGTATGTATCCACTTTCGTTAGATAAAATTAAACTTTATGAAAATATATAAAGTTTCTTAAACAAGTACTTTACAGCACTAGTGCGGTACAATACTTCATTACGCAACTAGTGCGGTAAAGTAATGGACAATACTACTAAACAATTATATGTCTTCTTTGGAAAATATTCTATATTTCTTAATATTCTAACCACTTTTTTCTCTTCAAAACTGCTAGCAACAGCATAAGTCTACTTTTATCAATATTGTGATTCAATGAAATTGTTCTCACTACATTGATTTGTGCCCAAACACTACTCGCTTTCTCCTTCACAGCCTTGCTAGAAAAGTAATCAATAATATTTTTTTGAAATGAAATTAATATACTTTTTACATATCTATATATAATTATACCATACTCCAGCTCACATACTTTTCTAGATTTTTTCTATTTAATTAACATGAGATATTTGATTGTTTGATTCGACCACAGAACGCCAAAAATATTTGTTTAATTTCTTGAAGATTATAGTATGGTATTTGATGATTATGAAATTTAATTATTTAAAGAGCAAATAAAGAAAATTTAATGCAACGTAGACGAAATGAAGGTTTTTGTGTACACGCTAGTTCCGAAGTAGCAGAGTGTTATCGGGTTTGCAACAATTCCTGCGAGTTTCTACTGAACCTAATGAGGTGAGATAATCGCAGCATTTGATTTCCTTGATACAAGTAGTGTGGGTCATCGACACCGAAAAATTGCTTTGCGGCAAAATGTGTGTCAGTCTTTCTCTTTGTCCGAATGCCTGAGAACAATGCTAGCGGATAAAATGAAATTGAATCTGATAGTTTAATTTCGAGGAGCACTTTACTTGAAAGCCCAGAGACATTTTCTTCATTTTCAAAAATATGATCCACATTTTTTTATAAAAATTCGTGAGATAACGTATATGGCACTTAAGAGAATGGTGCAGATCTTATTTTCTTTCAAATCTGTTATTTTTTGAAAATTGCAGAATTTAACATTATTTCGGCATTGTCGTACAGCTGAAATATTGAAGATAGAGATTTTATTCGTAATGAAAAATATTTTTTGAAAAACTCATTTTGAAATAAGATCCTGTACAATCTTTCGAAAATTTGATTACTTTTCACCAAATTTTGCGTAAAATACAGGCAATTTGTATTTTTTAAACAATCCTCTTACGCATTCTATACACTATCCGACACTACAATTTAATAAAGCATTGAAACTTTTTTTTAATTTTGAAAATGTTACAGGCACTTCATGTAAAGTTACCCCGCCAAATTAAAATATCGGTTTAATTCAAGAGGTCGCGACATCAACCAGATCGATTGGGAATATAATTTTGGAAGAAAATCGATTGAACGGTTTAGGCGCAAGTTTTGACCAAAGACGGCCAGACAGACGGACAAACACACGTTTTGCCATCAATCTGTTTTTCGATATCAAGGACCCACAAAACATGGATTCTGAATTCACAACACGTTGTATGTATGTATGTACTTGGCGCGACAGCCCGTAAACGTGCTTAGGCCTTCCGCCGACGTCCCTGCTTCGCGGCCATGGGTTAAGGGTACGTGTGGTTAGCACGTAGGCATCCCAACGCCGTATTCCGGTCTTTCAAATCTGAGAAGTGAATTTTCTCATCGACACACTGCACCATATACTGGGAAATTGTAAGCAAAACGCATACTAAAATCTTACTTGACCGACAATGGAACCGGGGCCGCCTAGTGAAAAGCGAGCACGTTTGCCAAGAGCTAGCCACGAAGCTACATAACGTCTTAGAGGAAGTAATTTACTATAGTTGAAATGAAAGTCCATTTTTACCATAAACCGTATTTTTCAGCGTTTTTTCTCCCGGAAATTTCTATTTTTTGTTTTTATACTATACAAAGTAATTCTTTCCATATGCATTGACCGTTTAACATCAATGGGAATTATCTTCACACCTCTATATTCCATTAGACGAAAGCATGCCACTCATGTTTTATAAACTATACATTATGAGTGGTTATAACTTTAAGATTTATATTTGAATACCGCGAATTCATGAAATGTCTGTGGGTAATGACGAGGTAAATTTAAGTTTTCCTTATAGTACAATACTTGCATAAGCTATTTACTGGGAAACTATCATTAGAAAATACGAAGTGGTTACGTAATTCTCGTACGTATTACTCGTACAAGTGTAATCGTACTAACACTTCAACCATCATTCGAAAAACTCAAATGAAGGGCGAGAGATTCGATTACATATACACACTTTTTTAATTCAAAATTCATTATGAAAATGGCTGTTTGTCATTGAATTTAGTTTATTAACGTATATTTTTAAATTTACGTTTAATAATTAAATTTTTAATATTTTTTCTTTGCTGCAATACCTTGCAGCATTTTCGAGCTGCAATACCTTGCATCGCCGCATTGCTTTATTAATCGCAATCTCCCTACCCGACAGCTCCCCCCGCCCTCCCCTGCCCTACCAAATGTGTTGCAACTACAAGCGTTTTCCATGAGCAGTTGCTGCATTTCCCGGTAAGTTGAGTAACAAATTGATTTTTAATTACTGTACACCTAATTGGACTTTTAGAATGAATGAAAACGCGTTTTAGTAGAAAATTCCAAGGGCTTTCAGAAAACGTTTAATTCTGTATTTTCGGAATATTTGAGAAAACTGTAATAATCCTCACTTAAATATTTTCCTAAGAAGTAAGAAATGGAAATAAAAACATTTTTACGAAATCGCATACAGAATCTTTTTCTCTTGTTTTAAACGTCGTATGTACAAAATATTATTAGTTCGGGATTAAACTGTAATTTGTATAAAAACAAACGAGAAATCATTCTTTTTTACATAAGAGAAAATAATAATTTGAAAAACGTAGCCTCAATTAGATCAACAAATCATTTTATCTGGCGGCTTGTGCCTACTCGCACGTACGCATGTGCACACCCAAATTAATTCTGTGCATTTTTTTCTTAAACATCTCTAAACACGAGAGGAATACTCGTCCCCTCAGAGCGTTTCCGAATCATGGAATTTCAAAACGCGCACTATTCGGAAGCAGCGATTGACAGTCCGCCGCCAGAGCCCTTTGTGAAAGCCAGCCGGCGCACACTCACGAATTGCGGCTTTTTTTGAAAATTTAGAAAATGTCTCTGGGCTTTCAAGTAAAGTGTACCTCGAAATTAAACTATCCGATTTAATTTCAAGGGGCCGGAACATCAGTCAGAACGATCGGGGAATATCACTTTTAGCGAAAACACTGCTTATGTTTTATCCGCTAGCATTGTTCTCAGGCTTTCGGACAAAGAGAAAGACAGACCGACGGGCTGACACACATTTTGCCGCAAAGCAATTTTTCGGTGTCGATGACCCACACTATCAAGGAAATCAAATGCTGCGATTATCTCACTTCATTAGGTTCAGTAGAAACTCGCAGGAATTGTTGCAAACCCGATAACACTCTGCTACTTCGGAACTAGCGTGTACACAAAACCTTCATTT